AAGCCAAAAACGAAGAAAAAACAGAGGAGATGAAAACAATTGAAGAGATTAATAAGAAAAGAGAAGCTTATATCTGGGATCTTGCAACAACCCTCCATCCAATGGTCTAGAGACTGCCACGTGCACTGTCCAGATTAAATTTTGCTAACTGATAAAATCGCATCTCCAAACAGCACCTTTAAACACTTTAATAATTTCGAAGTAGACGCGTATATTCTCTACATGTTATTGCCACTCTAATTTACAAGCAAATTTGGGATACTGAGAGCATCACTATTTTACGTACGTATGCTCGAAACTCATTCGTTTGGTGTTTCTCATGTAAATCTTATCTAGGTACAGTAATTATGCGGGTCGACTGTTATTACATCCAAAGTGAGTTTGATTTTGACTTGATTAGGTGGCCGAAGTACCTTAAGAATGAGAATTATCGCACTCTTATCCTTAATGGTTTTTAAAATTCTTAATTATCTGGTAACCCAATTAGGAGGCCTAGCTAGCTAGTTAAGCTGTGTCTTCATCAATTAACCTTGTTCGACTCTAAAAAATGTGTCAACAAAATTCTGACCTCATCTGCTCCACATAGACATTGTCTGCAAACTAAACACCTTGTTAGAAGGCAAAGGCCGTCGGTTGAAAAAAAGATTCGGCAACAGTTTGCATTTTGATGGTTAAATCAACGGCCAGACGAAAGAAAAAGAGAGCGCAAGAGAGGGAGAGGGGATTTGGGTAGGATTAGAATGAACGTACATTAACTGTAAATAAAATCATATATATATATAGGAAAATACAAATGGGCCGAGTGGGTTAGTGGGTCGAACCCAAGCCCCAACATGAAGCTGTTTAATTAAATAGTCCAATCAATTAAATAGTCGATATCACGTCGACATATATGAAACCCCTTCCACTATGCATATGTCATGTAATTTATAGGTGTAACAAACTTAAAAAAACATTTCTAAGAAACAACTACCAAATAAATCTTAAAATAATATAAAATAATATAGTGGAAGAAATTCATCTCTCAGATATTCAATAACGGTTGTTGAGATTGAATTGTAAGTTGGTCGTTAGGATTCTTCTAACACATGTCAACACTCGTAAGGCCCTTTACCTTTTTTCCTTTTTTTCTTTTTTTTAATCGAACAAAAGTAGCTTATCACATGTCCTTGCTTATATTGATTAGATAACGAATCTTACAGAGTTCAATTAAGCAGTGATTAAACATAAGTGTGCTACCTAATTAAGCAGTGATTAAACATAAGCGTGCTACCTGTAAGAGACACGTCTAACAACATTGTGAAATGAATTTTGACAAGGGTTAATGCTAAAGCAAGAGGGCCTTGTAACAGGATTTGGGATGGAGGCCGAGGTGGTACCATCTCGCCCCTTGATCTGATATTTTGATCAGATCAAAAAATCAGATCAAAGGCCCCTGTCGCGACACCTCGGCCACCTGCCCCCAACCCTGTTACTGTAGTAGGGCTCTTTGAAAAGATGGAATCAATAATTTTTAAGATTATTTTTAAGTGTCTGTAAATGGTCCTTGGACTTTAAAATGTTCATATTTAGCCATTAACCCTTATACTGTTCAAATTATTAGTTCCCAAAATTAATTGTCTAGTAAACTATTGGCTAGACTAATTTGACTAATGGTGTGCTTGTGTGCCATGTTCATTGACATTCATTGTCCAAAAAATTACGGTTGACTCCTTTCAAATAACTTAGGGTCAATTAGAATATACACAATAAAACAATACAAAATAGATATTGTTCAACGAAAAATAACTTTATAATGGAAAAACTCTCTCAAGTTGTATCATGAATGTCCATTGATACATTACATAAGTGACCCATGAGCCAAATCTGCGTTGCTATTTGTTTGGATCGATGGAAAGAACATTTTATTATGAATCTAGGGATAAAACCAAGTTTTTCAACCTCACAACATGTGGATCTTGGTTGTCTATATATATATATATATATATATATATATATTTATTTATTTATTATTATTTTTTGCTTCTCCATCAATATTAAGTATTTCGAGTTTCAAAATCAACAATGAAATCCAAGTGACCCTCTTCATTTTATCCAACTCACTCTTCTCCCGCTTATTGATAATCAAATACACATACTTAAAGTGATATATGTACTCTAGGTACAATATAATCCTTTTTATTGAGTTTCTAATCCTCTGCCCAAATCATGTAAGCCAATTTTGGTTTCCTAAATTGAAAGCTTTCTATACTTTGAAATGCTCATTTAATTTTCTAATTTACAATTTAATCGAGTCATATTCACTAAACACTTCATCGAGAATATATTTTATTCTCATTCGTACTAACATGAAAAGATGAGGAAATGAGTCAAATGTTGATGTAATCACATCATGTGATCGAGCAAATTGAGGTTTAAGAAAAATTGCTCTAGAGGCCTTTTTGAAACTATAATAAAATTGTAATGGAGCAAATGACCATTGACAAAATTTCAATTGGTAATCAATGAAAGTGTGACTACTATTATATATTGACGATTTAGATAGATAGTCGATAACGATATCATTAGAGATCACCAACACCCATTCTTCGGCTATTAGAGATGGCAATATCGTCAGTTATATTATCGATAATATTTTGCCTTACTTCATTCACCAACGAAAAACTGTAGGTATAATTCACAGAATTTTATTTTCTATATTGTTTTTGTTAATTACTAGCATACGAGTTAAAATATATTTTTTCTTATATTATTAACGACTAATAATTTATTTTTTAATTTTTAATTTTGTTCTCAACGTAATTTTTGGTTTGTATTACATTTTATATTTTAATTTATTAATTTATTGATGAAATTTTCACTGGTCTATATAAATATGTTAAACTATTTATGTTTTTTTTTTTAATATTACTGACTAAAAAATCATTTGTAATATTGAATTATTATTTCTAACGTTATTAAATTTTCCACAAATTTTTACATCTTATAAACAAATGCAAAGATATGTAAATTTTAAAAATTGGGGGGCCTAAGTGCAATAATCTAACCCGCGTTGTGTCTGTCCATACTTTATTTTATGTTCGTGATTGCTCTCGTGTATTCTATTCTTAAATGATAAAGTTAGTATTTAAATACATATATCACAATTGAAAATTACATGTTATTAGACATACATTCAAATTTGATACTGGATTTTAGATTTGGTTATGTTTAAATTAAAATTAAAGATTAAGTTGATATGTATTCAATATTTACCATATACCGTGTAACCAAGATCCAACCTTACATGTAGAAGCCGTAAAAACAAATCAGAATGATTTTAATTTGAATGACGAAATTCGTGATATAATTATGTAAAACAATTAATATGGATAATAAAATTCTCATGTGTTACTTGATTTGTAATTCATACGTTCATTTGAATACAAAATTTATGTGAAGGATTTAAATGCACAATTAAGGTAGAGATTTAAAAGATAGAATGCCAATTAGTTCATTTATTAAATGTTTATCTGAACCAACCAAGGCAATAACGTCAAAAGTACATTAACTACGATGAAAATTTTACAAACGACATCTCATATTGTTGGAGGCAAACAAAACTTTTATTTTAAATCTCAAAGAACATAGAAGCCAATATGTCACAATGCAAGAAAATAGAAATTATATTTTACATATATTCGAGATATTGGCAAGATATTACTCAATTCCCTTAATCCCTGCAAGAGAATATGAGAAAAACGACCAATATGTATTTACAAATATGTAAATGTCAATTTGATTTGAGTCATCCATGTAGATTTATAATTGTCAACTCAATTAAAAACTTTTGTGACACTTTATAACCAACAGAAATGAGTTTTTTTAACATCATAGACGACTTTTCGTTTAATTGCACCATGATACATTGAGACTAGTTGCAATGCCAAAAAATGACACAAATGGTATTTGCATAATTATAAAGGTTGAACCCCAATCTTGAGGATCCCCACCGTTTCGCCCCTAGAATTTTGTGAGGGAGGTAAATCGCCCGATGTGCCCCAACAAGTCAGGAAATAAGAGCTATTTTTACACTACTTCTATAAGTAGTCCAATTCTATGTCTCAGGAATCGAACTCCCACACTGCGATTGTCAGTAAGGTTTGAGATAACCTCACTATTGTCCTTTACATCACTGGGCTATGTCCCGGGGGGCATATTTGCATAATTATAAATCTATAGAAAGATGTTAATCAACAAATTTCGAGGGAGTCAAATAAGGGCCCGTTTGGGATGGCTTTTGAAAAGCCAAAAGGAGCTTTTAAGAGCCAAAAGCAGCTTTTGGACCGTTTGGCTATTTTTGTTTAAAGTGCTTTTGGAGGTTAGAAGAGCTTTTAGAGGAAGCTAGTTTTTTTGACTTCCTCCAAAAGCACTTTCGGAATGGGAAGTGATTTTAAATATTAATTTTCAAACAAAAATTAAAATAGCTTTCTCCAAAAGCTCTTTTATAAGAAGCAAAAGTCAAAGTAAAAGTCGTGCCAAATGGGCCCTAAGTATTGTCCATTTATTCACTCATTTTTGTATATTTATAATTTAAACATTTTATAAATACTTTTCAAACATGTTTAGTGAACATTTTATGTCCATGTTTAAATCTCATTTTCTATAATTCGTTTTCAATTGCATATTTCATGATATACACAATTTTTATCAACTTATAATTATATAGTTCATTAATTTTTATCAAAATCTACTACAAATCTAATTTGGACTGAAAACCCGTTTGGTACGGATTAAAATTTGATTTTAATCTAAGTTAAAATTAAACAATCAATATTAATCATATGAATTCCACGACTTTTCAACCACACATTTCAAAAACTTCTATAATCTAATTTTACTTTCCACTAAACATTTTTAAGTCATTTTCAAAATTTCATCCCTTTGGGGCAGTATCGTAAATTTTCGTAATCTCAAACCTCCCGTTACGAGAATTCACATAAATTTTCATTTTTCCCGCTCAAATCGTCCTGACCTCATCGTCCACCCCATCCCACTGTTGCATATACACGTGATGCAGCATAGACTGTAACGGCTGCTTTCTCACTCTAATCCGAAAATGCCTGCCCTGGACAAACTTCCAAATTTTTCGGCATTCAAAGCCGCGGTTCCTTGCACCGAACTCAAGCCTGTTCGAGAACCAGTTCAGGTGGGCGTGAACCCGAGTCCTGATATGGAACCAATTCTGGAGCAGGATTCGGATTCTGGGTTTCAATTGACTGTATATAATGGTGACGTGGAACGAGAAGGAATTAGAGAATTCGAGGAAGGCGAAGAAGAAATGGAAATGGCTAGGGCTTTGAAGCCGTGCGAAGAGGGGAACTGGAAAATTGAAAAGAGAGACTCGGATTCCAAGAGTTCTCTTCCCTTCCTGTGTAAAGCTCCTAAAACGGTAATTTATCATTTTTATTTGTTTTAAATATGATTTTTTGGGGGATTTTTATCTTTTGTCAGTTGGAGTGGTGAATTGGGGAATTTGGTAATTCATAGATTTCTTCTGTTAGATTTTTATTTTTGACGATGAAGAGTTGGTTTTTAATTGTTTATTTTGTTTTGTTAAATTGCTTCCTGTAGCAAATTAATAGTTTGTTTTGGATTGTCAACGTCAAAGTTTTTAAAATTTAAAAAATCGTACCTTTTTGGATTACAAATTTGGTTTATATTCTTCTACTGAATTCTCAATTTTCAGGAATTATTAGTGTTATTCTATGGACTTGGTGAAGACTGGATATTTCTGACTTTTATTTTAGCTGTCAATTAATTAATTGGTTTCAATAAATTTTATCCTGTAGGATTCTTTAAATCTTGCCGATTAATTTTTAGTTCTATAATAAATGGTCTAATTATAGTTAATCTTTTATCGTGATTATAGATTGCTGTGAGGTTCAGATTAATCATTTGGTCTATTTTGAGTTATTAATGTACCTACATAAAAGTTAAGAAAAGACATTTTATCCACAACAAAAGTAAAACCAAGCCTTACTCTTTGTGCTGCATTTTCTTGGGATGCTTTTATGTGTAATAATTTTGCAACAGAGGATGATTTAGCGTAGCAGCCACCATGCCTTTAATGTTCTAAACAAAAATTCACTTTAATATTTCACCTTATAATATCAGTGGCTCAACATTCTCACGAGTTTTCATCTCTCTGTGGGCCAGTGTCTTGTTTGCCAGAATGTAATCTACAATGAGGAAATATTATGCTCTGTTCGCAGCTGTCAAGCAGCTTTTCACCTAATATGTGCTAAAGATGGACTTGGCTTCTTGTCTTCGAAACAATTCAAGTGCCCTCAACATGTAAGTGTGAGAAAGTTATAATGACTATCTGAGTTGAGGCATAAAAGATGACGGTGGCACAATTATAGGCCACTGATGTGCATCTTTGTGTAAACGAAGTTTTTGATTTACGTTAATTCTTTTCTTTTCTTTTTTAGTGTTTCCTGAATATGGACATCATCAATGTTTTCTTTATAAAAGTACTCTCAGTTTCTGATTTTGCCTTGTTTCCTGTATCTACTAATTTTGGTTTTTGCCGTGAAGATTATTTTAACTAGGTTTATATATATCTCTTTATTAATCAGGCATGCTTTTTGTGCAAGCAAAAGAATCGATTGTGGCGATGTATAAGATGCCCAATGGCATCACATGATAAGTGCGCACCATTTCCTGAGCATGTGATTCGTTTCCCTGATCGACCACAGGAGGTCATTTGTTGGAGGCATCCTACTGACTGGCATTTGGAAAAGAAGGTCAATATCTTCCTTCATTCATCAACATGGTTCTAAATTTCTCCACATTGTTCAAAGTTTCTTTCACTGTTTAGTGTTTTTGCATTCATGTGATATCATTCTTTGGTTCAACAGCGGCGTGACATTCTTAATTTGGTTTGATGTTATTAAGAACTTAGAACAATTCTACTCACATCCCTACTGGTAAACCACAAAATGACCATCAGAACCAACAAAACATCACTATCTCAGTACTCTCTCTCTTTAATTTTGTCTTTTTTGTGGCTTACTAAACAAAGTAGAACTTATTTTGATTATCCATCAATCAAAGCTATTGATATGAGAGACCTTGAATGGATGAGCTGAGAATTCGAGGAGTGATGCTCCAAATAATAGATACGAACCTTACATTTTGAGCTATAACTTGAATAATTTTGACATACTTCTTAACTTATTATATCTATATTTGCATTTGAAACTAATTTTCTTCTCGTGACACAACAGAGGGAACACATTAAAATTCTTGAACATAAGATGCCGCTAAATTTCCCTGCAGCCACTACATAAGGATATATATTTCCTTTTCAAAAAAGAGAGACACATCATATGAAAGAATAAAATTAATTTTGGAGCATCTTAAATGTTGATCAATTGCCAATCTTACTCCCATTTAACTCGAGCTGCAAGTATGTAACTTACGAATCTGATATAGCTTCCATTTCTGAACAGAAATCCAATTTGGTAGTTCTTTTGCTATATTTGGTACCTTTTTAGATGACTAACGTGTACTTTTGAACTGTGACTGCATTTTAATAAATTTTGCTCTGCCTGGCCTAATGATAGAACTAGAGATGCAAGTTTCCTTTAAACTGCAATTCTTTCCATCATCTTCCTCCATTATTCCTTTTATTTTTGGTGATTTCATAAATTGTCCAAAACTAGGTCGGCATATGGATGGGTTGCATTTTAAGAGTCAATGACTTGTAGACACTTGTTTGAATACCTTCCTTCATGTATAGGATTGAGTTTTTAAAACGAAATTGAAAAAGAACAATGTGGCAGAGGCAACTGCTATATTAAAAGGAAGGATGCACAACTACACCACGGCATCTATCACAATGAAAATGGAAAAGAATGATGTAGCAGTGACAACTGCTATATCGGTGAAAAAACATGCAGAGGCAGAACAATAACCAATATATCAAAGGAAGAATACACAGCAACTAACTGTACACTATCCAAAGGATTTTTCTAGTGAAGAATTGCATAAGATTAGGAAAGGCAATCTCTATTTTCTTAGCGTTGACAATCAAGAACGTTACGATTTGGCTCTAATCAAACTCACACACACACTCACATATATAAGAGAGTTTGTTGTTCCTTGGTATAGACTTGGAAAGAGAGTTACAATTTCAATTTGAATTTGAGATGGGATCAGTGCTTTCCCCAAGGGATTGAATCTAGAGCAGAAAACAAAATAATTCCCATTCTAAACTCAACTTAGCAATCAGTTTTTTCATCAGTGTACCAGCAATCTCTATAAAATTAAGTTTCAAAAATTTCCTCATTTGGAGGTCACTAGCTCTGATGCTCGGACTCTTTGAAATAGGAGTACCCGTGTTGGACACGACACGACACCGATATGGAAAATGTGTCAGATCCTTCAAATTTCAACTGGACACTTCATCTTTTTGTTTCTTCTTCATTCCTTTTTTTTTTTTTTTTTTTTTTTTTTTCGCTCTCTATAAACCTATCGCCGCCTCCGAGAGGGTAGAGAAGGACGGCGATGTTAGGTTTTCCCTTCTTTTTCTACTTATTTCTTTTTCTGATCCATTTTCTTCTTCTTTTTCCTTTCCTTTTATCTCCGTAACGGTGGTTTAGGGTTTCGTTTGTGTAAAATGAAAATAGGTTTCATATAGTGTTACTCAGTGCTCCATTAAGTCCAAATTACAATCAAATTCCTCATTTTCTATTTTATATAACATTTACTAATTCCCATGATAAAAAACTAAACCCCAAAATTCTATTTTATTCGTCTTAATCCCTTATTCAATACTCATTTCCTTCTTTGTTAATAATTTATTTTGATCTATTCAAGATGATATTTTGGATTAGTAAAAAAATTGAAGTTTGAAAGGCGTACCCACGTACCCGTGTTCTTACATTTAAGAAAATAAAAAATTCGATACTTAGATGCATACCTGTACCCTATACCCCTACCTGAGTCCAAGCATCATAGGTCACTAGTCTTGCCTCTAGTTTGGAGTCCCAATCAAGAAAAATTGTCCGAGAACAGAGAACAAGAAAAGGAGAAAACTGGAGAAGATGGTAAGACGGAGATCAACCCTCAATACAATGCATGGATGAACACAACGACAGTCTATTTACCACATGGTTGCTAGGGATAATCATGCAACAGGTATTAGTTATGAATGATTTATGGTGTCAATTCCACTTTTTAGGTGTGAAACCTTATGGAAGAACAAATCTGCATCATCAAAGAGAATGAAATTCTCTAGAATGAAAGTTTTGTGAATCTTTAAAAAGAGAAATCTTTCCCTTGATGAATATCTTAGAAAGTTAAAAAATACTTGTGATAGTGTTGTAGCTGTGGAAAAGCCAATGGAAAAAAGTAACGAAATTATCAAAATAACCAGAAGATTTGGTCCGTAGTATAAGGATTTTCACATGGTTACCCATCTTTAATCAGTTGGTTTTAGCATTGCAAGCACAGACATATGCTGCTTATCAGATGTACTGAGAAGACGAACAAAATAATCCATGAGCAACCCTTCCTCAGCCAAAGAGGAAAAGGTGATGCTGTTGATGTGGTCTCTTCAACTCAAAGGGATGAGGCTTCATTGGTAATGAAAATCAACAAGAAAGCAACCATGGTGGCTACAATCAATAGAGGAACTATCGGAAGCAAGGAAATCAATCTACCTAGCAATCACCAAGAAGGAATGACGAAGTAATTTGACAAATATGTGGCCTGGCTAATCACGAGGCAGCGTGGCCTTAGGAATGTTGGAATCGGATTGATCATTCTTACCAAGCTGAAGATGTTCCTATAGCTCCCTATAATAAGTTTCCATGATGAGAATGATCCAACTCTTTATGTGGACTAAAGGCACCCCTGATATGCTGAATGGTCTAGGTAAGGTTCTAATTTTGTTCCTTACAAATGGCAACAAGTCAACATGATATAAAAATGGTCACAGTCTAAAATTTTCTTAGGAAAAGATTGAAATCCTATGTCGACATTTAAATTTTGAAAATGTCTTGATAATTTTGAGATCAAACATAATCTTTTATCCTTTGGGCAACTGACTTTTGATAATGCTTCTAATAGTTTTATTATTAGAGATTAGTCGTGCAAAATCCTATAATTGGTGCGGAAGCTAAAGGGTGTTGTATAGAAGGAGAATTAAAGGTTGGAAGAGGCAAACTGCCTACTAAAATAAGGCTTCCTACAGTATTTGACACTAAAGTATGGGTTATCTCCATTCCAAATCTTTAAACTTTTTACACAATAAACAATTTATTGATGATTTTGCACGAACAAATCTAAGAATATTTGTGTTAAATGTCAAATGAAAAAAGTTGCAAACCCTCATTTTCTTTATCAAATAATATTTACGAATTTTCTTTTAATAAATGCGGATTCAAAATTGAGATAACACTTTGAATCTGTTGGGGAGTTCAGTTACATAGTTCTACCTGATGCGACAAGAGGATCATCCTGACATGAGAAATTCAACAAATGAGAAAATTGGTTCTCTCAGGTGTGGCAAAATGCCTTGCTATAGCACAAATTCAGAGGAACTTGCATTGAAACAGAGAATGTGTTATCTCCATTCTAATTCTTTAACCTTTTTATACAGTAAACAATCTATCTATGATTTTGCTCAAACAAATCTGAGAATATTTGTGTTAATTGTCAAATGAAAAAAGTTGCAAACTCTCATTTTCTTATCAAACAATATTTATGATTTTTCCTTTAATAAATGTGGCTTCAATACCGAGATAGCACTTTAAATGTGTTGGAAATTTCAGTGACATGGTAGAACTTGATGTACTAGAGGATCATCCTGATATGGGAGATTTAACAAATGAGAAAATTAGTTCGTTCAGGTGTAGCAAAGATGCCTTTATATATTACAAAATCAAAGGACAATGCACTGAAACGGAGAATTACTTATTCCTTCAAGATTCTGATGAGAATTTTGGGATTTGGATCAATATAGGTGCAATCGTTGCACTTGACTCATCTATAAATCCATCATCATTTGTCATTTTGCTAAAATCATGCATGTTTTTCAAAATAAATGTGATCAATTCATCGTGATTTATGAAACCTTATCTTATCATGCTAAGGTTTTAAAAACTGTATCATTTTATAGATTATCATACTCGCTTTTCTTGTATTTACTCTTTGAAAAAGAAGTATGATTTTTTGGAATGTTTCTTAAATTTATCAAATTAATGGAAAACCAATTATAAGAGGAAAATAGAGGTTTTTTGAAGTGAGGAAGGTGGTGAATTTAATTTCCTTACTTTTGAGACGTTTAATGGAATGTGAAATTTTTACATAGTTTTCTTGTCCTAATGCTTCTTAACAATATGGTATTACCAAAAGAAAATATTAACACATCGTTGAAAGAGAATTGACTTATTTTTCATACCAATCTATCGATGAGGTATTAGATAGATGATTTTTTAACTTTGGTCCATTTTAATAAATCATATAAAATCAACTACCCTTTATATGATTTTTTCGCTCTTGTAATTGTTCAAGATGCAACCTCGCACAAAACTTGCTTTCCACATTTTAGATATTTCATAAATAATAAATGCTCATAAAAGACATCGTTGTCTTTTTGTATGATATAGTCCGTTGCACAAGGGATATTGTTGTCTCAATCAGACAACAAATAGAATGTCTTTCAAATCTCAATAAAAGTACTTTGATTTATGTTCATAATAAATAAACTGTCTTATAGGAAAAGTTAGAAGTGAGCACTTTTCCAGAATTAGAAGCATAGATTCTGAAAACGGAAAAAATTTCTTCAAAATTTACGACTAAACAAGATGATGTAGTGCATAATAATGTGTCAACAACGTTACGAATTTGAAAAATTTACATTACCTAAATCTAACACTAAGTGCTCCATCTTGCATGGCGGTAGCCACTTCTAGAGACTAGCTTTTTGATTGCTAGACACTCGATGAGAATGTTTGAGATTATATCTCGACCCAATACCCATGTCAAAATGCGGTAACTGTGTGACTAGAATGTAAGTGTACATTGATTACTCGCAGTCATCCGCTATAGTATTTCTTTTAGTAATAGGATATATATAGGCCACATGATCTATGATGTTTTTGGTGTTATGGACACGTGACTATATAAATACGTGTCGAAGATAAGATTTAAAGGATATACATGTGGCCTTCTCTAGTGGTTTAAGTTTTTAGATTTCATGGTTCAACATGGTATTAGAGTAGACAAAGGTCCTGAGTTCAAGTCTTGCTGCCACTCATATAAAGGTATTGTGCATGGTTTAGGATTTAATAGAAAAAATGAAAATTCGCTTACACGTAAGGGGACAGGTAGAAGACAAGATTCAAATGATATATATGTGCCTTCTCTAATAGTTTAAGCTTTCAGATCAAGTGGGTACAACTGGTCATGGAGTTTTCATGGACATCTACTAATGGTAGTAGATCGATTGAGTAGGGTTTGGCTGATTCGCCAGACCAAAACATCCATTTTCCGCTTCAACTATGGCTTGGGTGTTGTCAAAGGAAATTGTCTGGCCATATGGTATTCTGGACTTCCACTTTGGGGAGCGGATATTGATATGCCCCAAAGGCACTATGTAGGCGTCAAACTATAGATAAAGGGGTGAGAAGTGGGATTTAGTAGGCAGAAATTAAGGTGTCAATTGGGAGAGAGCTAAGCCTCTCGAAAGCTTAGCAAACTATTTTAACTTTCATTTCATTCAGTTGGAATTACACTCTATTCTTTTATTCCAGTATGAAATTATAAAAATACAAATATCAACCTATTTAATTTGTGTTCACAAATCACAAGCAAATTCTGGGATTCTATTGAAGAAGTTGGAAAAAAAAATTGAATTTTTAGAACTTGGATCCAAGGTTTCAACATATATCTGCCTCTTTATTTTTACAATGTATAAAGAGTAGGTGTCACTTAGCAAATTATCACTTTCCAGTGAAAATAAAACATTTTGCTTAGCCTGACTTGGCTTGTTCATTGGTTGTGATTTATTCATATTTTAATAAAACAGCACCTTTTGGAATTGTAATAAGCTCGGACGCTCCATTTGACCGAATTTGTAAGTCCTCAAATTTGAATGAACACTATTGCAGCCACGTATGTTTCCAATTGTTGTGACAGCTAAACTTAGACAAAAAAAAAAAAAAATTATCAAATCTCTAGGAAATAAATTATTGGAAATTTAACTAATATTTTCCTTGCAAACTAAGGTCTCATTTTGGAAAGTTGTCATGGAAGTGGTACATAAAGCATGAATGTTAAACACTTCAACCCATAAAATATATTTTTGACGTGTTCATTTATATAAGCTGCTCATTTTTCCAGTCAGCTGAATTTATGCTCAAATCTAAAACAGTAATTGCTGCTATAATTAGTAGTTATTATACCTTAAAAATTATTACCATAGAGGGGAGCGAATAAGAAGAATAAAGAATTATGAAAGTTGTGAATTGCATTTTATTTATGAAATCCTTGATGCTTGTTATGAAGCTTTCATTGCTGATAACTCATATGCTGACCAGGCTATTTAAACTTATCAATCTGAACCTTTCCTTTTCCCTTGTTTTCTATTTTAACAGTTTTCCATTTTTTCCACAAAGCATGTTCTGTGATCTATAAGATTTTATCGTTAACATTTAAACTCGAACATATATTAGCCTGATTATTTCATGAGATGATACAACTAATTGAAATTCAGGCTTCATTACATGATATTGTCAATAAATTTTTATGTTTATGTTGCTTTTATTGCATGTTTATTATTTTGATTGACTACCTGACAGAACTCACATATCTCTTTTATTATGCAGCAAGAGGTTCCAGCCAGGAGCTTAGAGGTTAGAATTTGATCATCAGTTTCCTTTTCTTGTTGATTATGCATGGTGAATGAAATAAAGCAGTGCATCACACTGTGGATTTTATTCAATGCTACTTCTTTTTGCCTTGAAATTTGCATTTTATAACAAAAATTGGGATTAAATATGTAGAAGTCATGAATATTTGCAGCAGATTTGCAACATTAGTTTTACATTGAATCCTTTGATTGCCTAGAGGGATTTCGATACTGAAGCAATATGTTGTGAATAAATACTAAAGATTAAACACTTTAGACCTCTCCATAGATGTGAACTTGCTTCTTTTTCATTTTTTTTCTAGATTTATCTCTGCTCATCATGATTCAAATTACGAACAATTTCGTAGCATCTTTCAGGAAATATTCTCTTGCTTGCCTCTTCCACATAAAGACGAGGAATTTGAGATCGACTTAAACTGGAAAGACCTGACAGAAAACACATTGGTGCCACCTCCATATGAGCACATCAAGCGAAGTATCCTATGCATGTTGGTTTCAGATTTACTAAGCTGAAACTTATTATACTTGTACACAAATAGTCATTATCTCCCTTTCTATATATGAAAAGAATTCAACTACTATTAAAATCTTTGGACGATGCTAAAAAACTATTTATCCTGTTTGATTTGATTAACTATTTAAAGCTGTAAATGCAGCTAAAATTGTAATGGCTCTAAATGCTTAATTTCTAGTTAACTTAACTCAAGTAGACTTTTACCTCATTAGGAGGAAGCGCAGTAAGGTTGATGCTGATACTGGATGTGCAAGCTGTAGTTCTACTGAATGCTCTGAGGCTTGTGTCTGCAGGTGTTTATGTCCTCCCTTTTATAACTTGTGCTTTTACTAATCTTTAACTTGTAGTTTGTCTGTTGCTCAACTAGTGTTGCAATATTTATAAAATTAACTTATCAAAGTATAAGCTCATTGCTACATGTCTTCGCTTTATCCATTCTGCTCCTATAGAGATCAATTTCACTTTAAAATCAAAGATTCAAATTCATTTTTATCTATCTCATTCCATGTAATTGTAAATCTGCATCTTCCTTCATGTTTACCATGGCTGCTAGGTTTCTCTATTTTTTGAACAGATATATCTAGCATCATTCTTTTGATGTGTTCAAATTATTGCACTAGGTGTCAAAAAACAGTTTTTTACAACTCTCTCTTGATATTCTCATCTCAACCACTGTGAGTTTATGTATATGATGTTTCTGAATGCCAGCGAATAATATAGCATTGTTGGTCTAGTTGGAGACATAGAGAATAGTTTTTTTCATCTCATAAAAATTTCAATTGCACAAATGCACCCCTGTGCTTTACCCAAGTATATAATGGACACATTCTGTGTGAAGGGTATCAAGGTTGTTCATTTAACAAATCCAACACCAATTTAACTCTCTGCTTGTAAAAACATTGACTTAAACTGGATTCCATGAATTTTTTCTTAATCCAACCGAGTTTGAATCCCATATTTTACGATATTCTCTATTAAACTGTTATGTACTATACTGTTGCATTATCATTATAGAATCTAAGACATGGAACAGTGATGGCCATTACTCTGCATCCCTACACCTGCAGCAAGCCAGCACTCCCTTCTCTTTGCATAATGGCTTTTGGAAATGACGGTGAACCTAAAGATAGTTTATCAATCCAATTCAGCTAGTCTTTGTTATATCTTGAAAGCACTGGGTTTTGATGTGCACGTGAAGTTGGATTGGATTATCAACCTTGTATATCAGTTCAACAAGATTTAAGAAAAGCAAGCATGGTTGACTTGCTTAACCAAGTTAAACCACACACTATGATTCGATATTGTGTAACAGGTGAAAGGCTTACCAGATGATTGTTGGAGTAATTTAAACATCCATATGCTTATCTTTGGTTTCATACTAGTCATAAAAACATTCCCTATATGCTTCAATTGTTGGAAGAGTTCTGGTATTCCATTTGTCTGACAGAGACATAGTGTTCCCGAAACTCTAGCTGTCCTTATCTGACTTTTAAGTAATCCTCTTGAATAATGTAGTCCTATTCTATTTTAACATGTGGAAGTTCCCTACAAAACAAGGACTAAAATATTTTTCTTTCACGAATTAGCTTTTAAGATCTGTTTTTTGCCGAATGGGATGGATAACTTGATACAAGAGCTTTTGGTTGAGTAGAAAATGACTCTGTCGCAAAAGCTGTTTAACTTCTAGGTCTACTGTCATTTTGAACACTTATATTCTTTTGTAGACATTTCATGAGAAATTTTAAAGCATCGTGCTCTTCTTAGAAGTCGGACACCTCTATACAAACCAATGCAGCATATGTAACATTTATAGAGGCTGGAATCAGCAAACAGTATTCAGTGTTCAGTTCATTCAAAATTGGCACCGATGATATTTCTATTGCAATATTCTTTCATGGATTCACATAAATTCTTGAGTTTTTTCATAGTAAAGTTGCATTGATGGCTTCCACTATTATTTTTTTGAATAACAGAGTTCAGTGCATCAGCTGCTCAAAAGGTTGCCTTTGCAAAGGAGATTGTAAAAACAGACCATTTCGGAAAGAAAAAAAGATCCAACTAGTCAAGGTAAAAGTGATGTGTTTTGTTCTTTAATATTTTTACATGTTTGTTTTAATTACGGATTTTATTTTTTTAACCAATTTCCTTTTCCTTTCCACTACATTGACACTGGATTTTGCTTACCAGACAGAACATTGTGGTTGGGGTGTAGTGGCAGCTGAGTCCATCAATAAAGGTGATTTTGTGATCGAGTATGTTGGTGAAGGTAATTCTTGCATGTCAAAATATAAATCATACTACTGGAATACTCAGTTTTTATTTCAAATTCTAACTCAGTTCTCTAAGCGTGTGAAAAAGTTTGAGAAGCTGATCTTAACTACATTAATTTCTTGAATACACACACATGTTACGATGTGGGATTCTGATTTATAGTTTTCTTGTAAGTCAGCAAAAGATTAGATATGAAAAATAAAGGGATATAGAACACGAGGTGTTACTGATGAGAAATATATGATTATAATTGGAGCTCTTGGTATATTAAATGGTATCATAGCTTGGTGTTCTCCTCAGACTGAATTGTTGTTCACGCATATTTGGTGTAAGGAATAGTAATGGAGGATGATTTGTAAATTAGGTTGTCATCATATGGTCAATTTTTTTATTTGGTCAAGAAGAAAGATTGCCCCCCGGCATCAAAGTTGTAGTTTATCTTGCTGGAGTTGAGTTCTTTTAGCTGGAGAGAAATGATGGGGAATGAAGATAAGAGTAAAAGGAGTTCTTAATATATTAGGAATAAATATAGTTTGATTTTATTAACTTGTTTTAGTTTATTATAGTTTTCAAGTTTGATTAAAATTGGGATTTTATTTTATATCTTTATTCATTTTCCTACTTACAATAGGTTCACTTGAAAACCAGATAAAAAGAAGGCTTATGTATTGTAATAGTTAGGCTTGATTATTGAATAAACTCATATTTACTTCCTCTAATTTCTCTATATTTTCTCTCCTTTCTTTCTTTTACTTCTCAAGTCTAATAAGATTGTCGATTGTGAATCTTTAGAAAAGAGCTTCCTATGTCAGTTACATTTATAGTCACCTGAGTTTCGAAGTGACTTTCGAATATACAACATTTGCCTTTTCCTCAGTGATACGTTTTTAGCTACAGTGGCCTTTATGCTTCGAGCAGCCACAACATTTGCCTTTTCCACCGTGATACATTTCTAGCAAGGGTACATGGACCATATCGCGAATTCAAGAGGGGTGAGGTGGTGCATCGCTTTTCACTTTTCCAACCAGATTACGTTGAAACAAAGAACAGTACTATGAATGAATAAAAAATTATATATATTCCTTTTCAAATTTGAAAATCTCAAAATCTGTATGCCTTATGGAACTGAATTAATGCATACCTATTTTAGTCAAGTAACTGTGTGCCAAAAGGAATATGTAATTCACCCATATATCGATGAAAATGTTCTAATTTCTTGTGGAAGATCCATGAAAATAGCATGATTTTTTCAGTGTCCATACTTCAATAACTCACAAGATTTTTGAGAAAGATGAATCCTACCTTGTGCTTGATATTGATGGCCTCTGTCTGCTGAACACAGATCCAATGCATCTTTATTTATTATATTATATTGGCCAACCTCAGAAGGTCTTCTTGTCTCATCATTGAAATTTCCCATATTCTCCATCCATCCACAACGCTTATTGATATTGCAGTCTATAACTCTTTGCCCACTGAAGCCTTTTTCTGTAATATGATGACATTAATTCTTTGCTCACATTAACTTACTGCCTGTGGTGCAGAATATAAACTCCCGCTTTCATATTTTCCGTACTAGAGTTTACCTAAGAATGCAAGTGCTCTTAGCTATTGCATCCTCTGTAGATTCTGAAATGTGATGCATAATTCATAATTAAAATTATCACAAGTTCTCCTAAAGCATGGAGTATGAAAGATTTTATGAATATGCTGTGTTATCCTTCCATGTTTCTTTTTTCTTCAAGAATAAGATCTATAATCTAATAGTTTGTTTCTCTTTTTAGTTATTGATGATGCTTTGTGTGAGAAAAGGCTATGGGAGATGAAAGATCAGGAAGTTCAAAACTTTTACATGTGTGAAATTCGGAAGGACTTTGTGATTGATGCGACGTTCAAGGGAAATTCTTCACGATTTCTAAATCATAGCTGTGCTCCTAATTGTAAACTGGAAAAATGGTAAGTAAAACTATCTTGCAATTGATTTTCATGCCTTCCTAATGTGAATGACTGTTTTGGGGCTTCCACCGCTAGACAGAATGTTACCCTCAAACTTTGCTTCTTAAGTCCTTGCTAGGTCCCTAATGCAGCTACAATCCCAATCTATGTATCCCATTTTGTTTCTTTTAACTTATATTCGTAAGTCATTTTAATTTCAGTATATAGGTTCCACAATCTTAATCAGTGGCGTGAACTCTAAACCCTTTCCTCCTTAATTTTTTAATTTCCATGTCTAATAACCATATCAAGCATCAATAATTAGGCTCTCACAAGTAATAGCATTTATAATACTTGCACAATTACCTATCCACTTTCTTACTACGAATAAACACTATTCTGAATATACTTTAGGTGTATTTGTCAGTAGGTGGGTCTCTCAGAAAGATAGTTTGTTATATTCTTTTTAAATTGATTTGTGAATTATAACTACTGAAAAATTAGAGAATTTTCCTCAATTAATCTGTTTTGCAGTGCTGCATGAAATGAAAAATTGTAGTCTAGTTTGGTTGAACTTGTTATGGTGATAATATACATTTCAAACTTCAGAATTCATAAGCTGATGCATTGAGGCCAAATGGATACAGTTACGTGGTTTTTCTTCTTACTCTTAGGAACTCTTTAACCATTATTGCTGGTTGACAGTTACAAACTTAAAATTGTCATTTTTTTTTTCTAATACTAGTTTTCCCAGTTTTTGATTTTATATTTATTTCTTTGCACGTGGAAGATTCTGACTATATCTGTTGTCAAATTTTTCCTTTTCAAAAGGCAGGTTGATGGGGAGATTCGGGTTGGTGTCTTTGCAGCAAGATCCATTCAAGTAGGAGAACCGTTAACCTATGACTACAGGTATGTCATATGTGCAACGGATTGCTGATTTTCATATTATTTTCTGAGATTTGAATTTGAATAAACTTTTCAACAAATAAGCTGCAGCTGTGTACTCAACCCACTGATATATCGAAATGTCCATAAAAAATTAGCATATTTTTGGTTTGGGAGAAAATATATTACAAGAGACTAAGGGTACTTGGTAGCTTTCGTGAACCTAAGTGCATGTTATTTACGCGGTATTAGATAGGACCGAACAATATAATAGACCGTAGTCTTTTTTAATATTGTTTAGTACTATCTACTTGTCCCTATCAAACATGCTATTAGTACATAACTCTTGGTTTGATATAAAACAGCTGCAGAGACTAAAGCTACTGTTCTTGAGTCTGCAGATTTGAGCAATTTGGGCCAGAGGTTGAGTGCCGCTGTGGGGCTGAAAACTGTCAAGGCAATCTCGGGACTAAAAAGAAGGTTGTTTCAAGTAGGAGGAATAAAAGGAAGACCGATTTGAACTTCTCTTGGGGGGCAAGACGCCAAAGATCATCTCAACTTGTTTATGAGAACAATTAGAGCCAGTAATAAAAAAAAAAGGCAATTCTTTCAGGCGGCTCTTTCATGTTGTATACTGATGTTATCATTGCACGCTTTAAAGAAAAAAGAAAATAGGTACAATTAAATTGTTATATTACAACTACAAACAAAGCCTTATTCCCAGTAAATTTGGGGTCGGCTATATTCAATTGTTGTATTAGTTGAATTCTTAAGTACAACATAGGCATAACTCAGGTTTTCCCTGTAACTTTTTCTTTCATCTAACTCTGTATATAGTTCTCATTAAGCATGGTAACAGTCCAGTTTGGACATGGTTTTTGGAAGATACAAATATTTGTACTTTACCATGAGATTAAGATTTTTGGCTTCTGCTTCTGCTTCTGCAAGCACATCAAAAATCATATTGGTACTTAAAAGTTTATTTTACAGGAATAGAAGAATATTTATTATGAAGGTGAAAAAAGAGTTACAAACAAACAGGTTTGAGATCAACTTCATACAAAGAAAACCTTTTCTTTTTCTTATGCCATTCAGAAAGCCTATAGTAAAAGTACAGGAAACTTATTACAGGAATTGTACAGAATTTCGAAAATTGATGATGTGGAATAAAAAAAAACGAAAAAAATAAGGCTGAGAAAACAAAAACGCGGGAAAGGACAGCTTCTCATTCCACCATTTCCCCCAAAATTGGCGTCGAGTCCCGCCACTAACGACTCTCCCATATCCGGCCAAAATTCGGGCAATTGACCGGCGCATCTCCGAGTTGTATGTAAATAGAAAGTCGACGCCATTCTCATCAAGAATTCCAAAATTTGCAGTCACCGATAATGGCAGACAAAGGTATTCTCCCATCTTCTTACTTGGGTTGTCAATTGGTTAGCTTCTCTGTGTCCCCACACACTTAAAAAGCAACTCATTCATGGCTGCCCCAGCCCTCTTTTTCATTACCCACATAATACTCTCATTTTATTACTCTCTTCATTTTTGCATCCTCGGTTTTTTGGATTTTTTCTTCAACACAAAGTATATGTCTCTCTTACATAAATTCTTCCCGTTTGTGCTTTGTCCTTGTACTGGTTGCTATTTTGTTTATTGGGGGGGGGGGGGTAAGCAATTGAGCAGGCAGCAATGAAGGACGGTTAGCTTAAACTTCTGTTCAGTTTTTCTTGCTTTATATTGAGTTTTATTTAAGGATTTAATGCGGCGTCGGGGATGGAGGTGAATGCGGCGTCGGCTTTTCTGTTCACAGGCCGCTTGTTGGCATCGATGGAGATGACTGCAGTTGTGAAGGGGATGCTAACGTTGTATGCGGTGGTACCGATCGACGACGACAGTGAGCACACAGACAGTTAGTTTGGTTTGGGGAAGAAATTTCGTGGGTGATTTGGGAGAAATAGAAGAGACTTTGGATTTGGGGGAAATACAGGTGAAGTATTATTATTGTTTTTTTTTTAAGTATGCCACGTCATCATTATTATTCGAAATCCTGTAACCCTTCTGTTGATACATAAAAATTCAGCCCAAATCGAACAGCCCAGAGAATAAAGTCCAATTGGAGGGTCCCCAAATCAGATAGCCCAAAGAACGANGGAGAAATGTAATCAATCTAAGTTGAGTTGACCGAAAATGCATGACACAAAGTCTTGAAATCGGCTCATATGCTTGTAAAACCCGCGTGAATTAAAAAAATCACTAAAAAAGTGGCCCCCATCCCTTATTGTGAGTGTTCAATCAAGTCTTCTGTCGGGCATTTTCGATCAGTGTAACATCATAGAAAAATAATTATGTAATTGGAAATAGAAACACTTTTGGCTTTTAATATTAGTGGTTTAACTTTCTTTATGTTGTTGAAACCCAATTCAAGTAACCCTAGTAAATCTTGACCTTTTAACTTTTTCAGTTATACGAACTCGAAAATAAGTTGTTAATGATTTTGCACTATCAAATGGAAGAGTGTTCAATATTGAGTGGAGACAAGCATACATAGTGAAGAAAGCAGCAAAGTCATCAAAAGTATGTTTGCGACTGAGTAATCCACCTGCCTTTGAGAAAGCTCTTACAAATCCTTTCCCAGTATTTCCTATCTGCTTCTGCTTCCATTGACTTCAACTTGGCTTCTTCTGCAAAACCCTTCTGTAATTGTAAAAAAATTACACAATTAAATTGACCTTTGCACGTGCCTGTAATGCATGATTCACATAAATTCATCGGATTGGATGTGAATAACGCATGGCAAAAATTTACATTGAAGATCAACTTTGTGCAAATCCTTTTCCTTTATTCGAGTCAAGAGTCAAGGACCTGCTATTGAAGGGAAAAAAGGTCTCAACAAAAATTTAATATTACCTTCCTTTTATCGATTACAAATGAAAACATAGTTATGAGTTTAAATACCGCAACAATTTATGTCGTGTCACAAAGTTTTGCACTGGCTTCAACATAATACAAACCCTCAATTATCAGGGTTTAGGAGTGGTTATGAAAAAAAAGAAACGTAGTCTGACAGATTTGAAAAGCGATTACTGAATTTACGATATATGATTTGTCTACCTCAAAGGAGCCGTTCGAAAGAAGACGATCAATGATATTGTCAAGAATGTCTTTTTCATATTCAGGATGTCCCTGAATTCCTAGAATGTTGTCTCCAAATTTGAACATTTCTACACGTGTTTTATCGGAACATGCAAGAACTTGTGCTCCCTCAGGCACTTCACAAACCTGTCAATTAATTTCATGACCTGTCAAATTTCTTTAATGAAGTTAATAATAATAATAATAGACACTAAATATGTAAATAGAGAGTGAAAAAAATTTTAAAAAAAGATATATACCTCATCTTGATGGCATTCAATGATTGAAAGAGTGGGAGGAATTTCATCCAAACTATCATCAAAGTATCCATAAAAGGTGAAATCCTCGGTAAACCTAACCTTTCTTATTCCAATATCCCAACCACTATATGCTTTCCCAACTTTTCCTCCCAAAGCTCTACACAAAACCTTGGAAACAATGAAACATAATTATAAGTAAAAAGTGAAACAAAATAAGCAAAATTAGCCTTCATTATTTCAGTATCATTTTATAAAAGATATATACCTGATGACCAAAGCAAATTCCAAGAACTTTCTTTTGCATTGCGAATAATGTCTGCAAAATAAAGCAAAGTTCAAGAATCCAATATTCATCCCCATAAGCATCATGAGGGCTTCCACTGATCACAAATCCTTCATAGTTTTGAAGATCATCTATGGCAGGAAATTCGCCCTCGACGATGCGAAACAAGTCCCATTTCTCTTCTTCATCTGCAAATGCTTCAACAAATACATTGAAATATCCACCATAGACTTTCTTCACATAATCTGAATCCCTTACTGCCATTAGTAGTGCAAATCTTTTCTCTCTCTGGACCTTCATCTTGTAAAATAAGTGAAAATTAGAAATATTTTGTAGGGATAAGTAGAAGTTTATAGGATTGTTGTAGGGAAGTATGGAATCAAAAATGGAAGGCACTAATCCTTTTATACAAGAAAGAAGAGGACGGTAGAAATAATAAATACAGTAACTAGTTGACAATGGAATTCACGTGATTAATATTTTGCATACAATAATAATAAATTGTTCCTCTAGAATGGATTCTTCTACTTATGGACTATAACTTGTTGAATCATTTAATTTAAAAGTTTAAACCGTCAAGAGTAACATAGATGTATATTATTTTAATATTATTTTCACTCTGCTACTCCAATAGAGCTTGCAACAGGAGCTGAGGTGGCAACATCTCAGCCCTTTAATCTGAGATCTGTTACAAGGGCCTGTCAAAAACCCTGTTTGAGTAGCATAAATCTACCAAATAGGTTAATAGATGACGTTAGTTTTCAGACTTTTGTTTATTATGTGAACATTTCTATGTACTTGTATCTTCATGAATTTTATATCATTATGATTTTCCCAAAGCTATAAAAATTACTATTATTTAGGAGAAAAGATAACTTTATTACATTCTGAGTATAACTAGTTGAAAATGAAAACTTTACACGCTTAATATTTTCCATATAATTATAGCAAAATTCTGTCCTGTTTTTGTTCATCGCTTAACATTCTCTTTAAAGTTCTTTCGGTTAGAATTAGTAGATGGAGTTTCCAAATACACTTATAGATCATGCAAAGCAAATATATATATATATATATATATATATATCCAATGTTAATGAATATTTATTTATGTTCAAAACTTATGAATGTTTTATCTCCTAAATTCATGTATTTTACTTTCAGATTCTACTTTCTTCATGGTTGCACCTTATTTTGATTTTGTTTTTCAATCTTGCGTTGGCAACCCTATATTTCATTTTGCTTTTCAAGACAAGTGGATTTGCATTATGGAGAGCACTTCTAATTCATGAGTGAAGCATATTCCTGAATATGATAGAGTTAGACGTAATTCGATCCTTCGAACACGTAAAACATATAACTTAAATTAAGCCTAAATTCACTGCCTAATAAAGCTACCAAAAGATAAAATTTGAAGCTTCTTATTCAAGCTTATAAGAGGTATATTCCTGGTTCTGCCATTGTTGAACCAATGAAAATCAGTTTCAGAATTTCAGTTGGCTGTCCAAACATAAATTCGAAATTTTTTTCGTTGTATAACATCAGAAATGGAATTTATCCTAGTGGGATTATATTCTTTTGCATTCTACGAGCATTTCGGTTGGGTAAAATTAAGTGTAAATTGGTATTTCCAAAATTTCTTTTGCATCCTCATTTATATCCTGGTGAGAAAATATCTAAATTATACTCCAATCGACTGATCTAAATTCACATTTTGCTTCTTGTGGATGTAAGAAAAGATGTAAATTTACATTTTTCACTTTTTCTATCGAAAAATGAAATTTGCATCTCCTTTGCATATTTCCATTAGAGAGGTTTTCGGTCAGTTTGGAGATCTAAATCTCCATTTTACAATATCATTGAAGATACTCTTAAGTAAAGGATAGAACATTGTCTAAAGACTAACATTAATTAATTCCCTCAACTTCTGATATAAGTATGCTTATTGTTTGTAGATTGATGCAATATGGGATTGGACATACAAGTGATAATGAAGTGTTTGAAACATTTTGTGATTTAATTTCAAAAATCAAAATTTGAGTGAGTTATTTTCACCTTTTTCCTTCCTTTTTTGTTTTCTCTTTTTATCTTGTCAAGGGGAAATAGCAATCATAAAATATTGTCAAGTTTCCTTGTTGCTATGTTATCAGAGATAGTGGCAAAGTAATGGTATATGCCTATATCAGTAAGCTTGTCCAAGTTTGGTAGTGATTTTTCAAAATTCATTTTTCTTTTAACTTATTTTAACCACATATTCTTTCAATAAAATAATTTTATACATGGACATAACCTTTATCTAAATTTTACCACATATTCACCAAAAAAAAAAAAAATTCACTTTTTACACAATTTATTCTCAAAGCATCTACATGAAATAGTCTCTTTGTTGATTTTAGGGCCACTGATTTTTTGCATAATTTCGCATCAGAACAAATCCTATTCCCAATGAAGAGTATGCGGGTTTGTTGTCAAAGATTCAAGTGCATTTTAAATATCCTCCACTGAAATTTATACTCTTCCCACCAGCTTTTGTATGGAGTCATCTAAAACCTTAGACTTCCATACAAGAATTGTTAGAAGAGTTTGGGATGTTTGGAATCAATCTGATAAGAAGGAAAATGCGTGATGTGAAAACAAAATGAAACATTGGGTTGCATCACAGAAGGGAGATGCACTGGTAAATATTCTTTTTAGCCAAATAAAGTGCAGATCTAAATTCTTTTTATGCTATGGTCAGTATTATCATGGTATATTGGTATTGGATACGAATTCTTGGTTCTTATTATGAGGGTGTTTGGTGGAAATTAAATTAGATTTTTTAGTAAATTATGATAAAGTTTTTTGAATATGCAGTTGAAAAGTTATGGGACCCATGACATATGTGTTTAACATTGATTGTTTGACTTTAACTTAAATTAAAATAAGATTTTAATTCATACCAAACATGCTCTATGAATTAAAAATAAACCCTAGTTTCTTTTTAGATATCTGCTTCGTGGTACAATCAAGTTTAATTCCTACCAATTTGCACTATTGCCTATGATTTTAAGGACATTGTTGACCTCGATTTTTACATAGGTGATGTGACCAACAAATTCTAGTTCCACTCACCTCTACGCTATAGCTCTTGTATACTTGGACAAACAGTTAGAAGCACGTGACCTTTTCCAACGATGGGGAAAGTGATCGCAAGCATTGTGATGATCAAGTTAATTAACTTGTAGATATGCATTTGGGTGTGGATGGACAGAACACGTGAACCATGTTAGTGCACGGGCGCCAATGATAAATAGAGAGAATAACAAGAGTGGATAATATCACTATGAATGTGTAAAATTACATTACCTTCAAATGTTACTAAATGCAACTTATAGGGTGGCTACGTTAGTCAACGTGGCCTCATCTTAGTGCTCGAGTTGCTTCATCATAGAGTTCACTTCTACAATCCTAGGTTCAGGGGCATTTAATGATTTCAAAAAGTAGTCACCCTATAACTTGGGCCCGACATCTGAAAAGCATACAGAAAGGTTGATTTAGAGACACCTACTGCAGAGAGATCACATTAATCAATCATGGAATATTTTGTACGGAAAATCTCTTAGAAGAGGTGAAAGATGATGATTCCTTTGCACGTTTAGAAGCTAATCGCTTCGGATTTACACTGCTGCAAGCCATGGCACCTCACCTCGACTATAGAGAGTTGGCTTCTACATGGCAGTTCGACTAAGGTGGTGCATCACTTCGACTACCTTTGTCTGGTGGCCTCGTTTACGCCAAATAGGATAATGGCATAGAGTACGGGATTGATTTGATTTGCTGGTTGGATGCCACGTGATGGATGCTTTGAGTTTTGTCGAGTGAGGGGTAACAAAAATATTTGGTGGATTGGATAGTATACAAAAATAGACAAAATTTTAATATTTTTCATAATTGTTCATTGTAACTAGCCCTATAAGTTAATATTACCAAGCTCAATTATCCTATGTTTGGTTTATGTTAATCTATTTATAATTTAAATTGTTTATAAATACTTTCAAAATATGGAAGTTCAACTTGTTCAGTATATTGTGGTGAAGCATTATGACTTTAGACTTTGTGGATACAATGGGGATAGAATTATCTGGAAGGGCACAAGTAATGAAATATTTTCTTTACATCTTTCAATGAGCTTTTTATTTCATGGCAGTCACAAACCTTCCCTTGGAAATGTTGTGTAGCGTCGTATCGTCCCGACATAAGTAGCTTTCTTCCTATGACTGCATATAGCTAGCTTTCTTCATTGTTTGCAACTGTTTTTCTTGCACATGGAACCATTCTCAATAGATGGAATTCCACGTATACCTAATCATTTCGTCTCTGCAAGGAAATTTGGGGATTATATCTTGTTAGATCACCTAATGCAGCATCAATTCAGGTAGCAATGGAGGGTAAAAATCAGGGGAGCTACGTGGGGGAGGGGAGGAAAAGAAAGTTGTGGGAAATTTAGAGGCTGTAGAGGTGGTAAAGGAAGAATGAGAAGATATATTAGGTGGGAAATTTGAGATAGGTTGGTGTCATTTTTATCAGTGTAATGGCCAAAATTCGACTACTTCAAAATTTAGTGAGTAATTGAAGATGTCCTTCAATAATGAGAGCTCGAACACGTTTTCCAAATTGTAGTGAATAATGAAAGATGCATTTTTACATGACAATTTGGTAATGGTGTTTTGGTTGTCACATATGCATTTTGTCAGTCACGTCACTAATCTCGTTAGAAGTTTAAAAACGTTGTTATACCAGTGAGCAACATTCAACGTTAAGATAAGTTTAGTGATTAAAACTCGATATTTTAAACTTCATTGAGCAATCGAAGACATAGACATAATTTTATGTATTATTAGGACAATTAACTCAAAAATTGCTTCTAAATGCATTTAGTAAATTTTCTGAAAGTGCTTTATTTGATTAAAAGAATTTATAAAGAAATCTTACCAAAGGTAGCTTTTTCAGAAAATTCTTCTATAAAAATTAAAATTAAAAGCAAAAGCA